TCCAGCCAACCCAATGTCAACCTCCTTTCTCGCCGAAATCCCAGAACGATAGCAAACATCAACAAGGGTATCCCGAACGACATTATGCCGATGTTTAATACCCACAATACCAGCACAAGACACCGCGTGATCACCGAAAATATCTCCAACAAAAACCCTCGAACAAGCAAAGCACGACGTCGAGAAAGAGAATAAAGGAACACCCAACCGATAGGACAACACACATCGATAAGTCTTAGCGTTCATCGTCTGACCCAACCCCGAAATAGGAACCACCCGAAGCCAAGCTGAGGTATGATCACCCTGCTGTGATTTCCATAATGCTGATTGTCGAGGAGTTAAAGAATAAGCAGATTCTGCAAAAGCGGTAATCTTTGTGAAATACATATCTGCCAATTTCTTCATGTGTTTAGGGGCAGCGACCTCACTAGGATTACCCAAAATGTCAGACTCCACTGTTCCATTAAACAAACACAACGCATCCTTAAAGGCTCGTCCAAGACCAACAATGCCAGCATGCCGAAGAAGTTGTGTCTGCAACCCAGCAGACTGCAGCCGAGAAGCAAGAAAAGCATAGTGACGAACATCACCTGCAGAATAAACACCAAGCCCTCCAAACGCAAATGGTAAGGTGGAAAGCCGCCACTGCCAATCACCAAACCCAGGCCCCGAAGCGGTAACAATACGCTCCAAGGAAGATCGAAGAGCTCCATCAAAAGTGCGTTGAGCTACCTCAAAAGTACTAGGAGGACAAGTACGTAATGCAAAGTAGAGTTTTGAAACTCCAGTACATGCCCTAAGTAACAACAGTTCACACTGAGGATCATCAAGCATAGCGACCTTATCCATAAGGACAATTGTCTTGGTCACCCTCTGCATCACAAGGTCACCACTGAAACCAGAATCGGAACTAGCAGGACCTCCAAGCAACCTAACACCACGCAAAGGTCGAGCAATATTAGGCGGAAAGACACCCACCAGCCTGCTTCGAGGGTCTTTCGTAGGCCAGAAAACTTTAGTTTTTTCCACGTTAAGAGATAACCCAGAACGAGGTCCTTCCTCCATAATCAACTGCAGAACTTGCCCCACCACCAAAGTGTCACCAATAATCGTGCCGTCATCTAAATACCAAGCCTGAAGACATACATCAAAAGTCTCCCTAATTTTACATACTAGGGGTTGTAAAACCAAAGAAAAAAACAAAGGACCAAGGGGATCACCCTGCTGCACCCCTTGAGATGACCATAAGGTTTGGTCCCCATAGTACAACCTGCCTGGATTAGAATAGCAGAATTCAACCCATCGCGAAATGCCCGGACAACGGCGACGTACCTCACTTAACATGACCGAACGATCAACCAGATTGAAGGCATTTTGAAAATCCACCAACAACATAGATAGACCCACATCAGAACCACGGTCCTCAATCAACCGATTCATCGCATGAAGAATTGCCTCACCACCTGAAGAAACCCCAACACCAAATTGAAGGCCATCAAAGTAACTCCCTAAAGACTGACCAACCATAACAACACCCACCTTCGAAACGAGACGCCGCCAAACCGTACCCACAACAATAGGACGGATACCACCACCGGGCTTGACAAGTGGCGTAAGAGGAGCACTATTATTATTATTATTATTATTATTATTATTATTATTATTATTATTATTATTATTATTATTATTATTATTATTATCTTATATTAAAAATAAAAGTGAATTGAATGAATGAACAAGATTGATCCCTAAAATAAGGGGCTAAGATTAAAACTTATTACAAGAGCTACAATTTTGTTATACCACTTATACCCATTAAATAGTCTTTCTTAATTTGGGAATAATATAAATTATGAAACCTAATTTACATTATCCCAAAATTAAGATACCTAATATTTACAGTATCCTGAATTCGTCAAATAGTAGTGGTACTATAAAACAAAAACTCAACACAAAATAGTCATTCTTTTTTTTTTTAAACAAAATTTAAAGTAAAAATTGTTTTCAAAAATGATATCTATACTCTATTTATATACTAAAGTAATCACCGGAGGGACACTTGGCATGATTTTATCAAAAAATTTCCCTCCAAAAGGCTCTCTTTTCTTTTTTTTTTTTTTTTTAAAAAAAATTATTAAAAAAATTTAAAGTAAACATTATTAAATTCAAATAAAAAAAAAGTGTTACATAAGTCATTTAATTTCAATTGACTATTATTATATCATGCTTTATAAATTCGTGCATTATTGCACGGGGACAAAACTAGTTAAAAGATAATATAGACAAAAAAAAAAAAGAAAAAAGAAAAAGCATCATATCAACCATAATTAAGATATAATTAAAAACATTTTAGTTAATTTATCAAACCAAATTTTGTAGGGATTGAGGCATGAAAAGCAATATCATTGATTAGTTCATATATACTCCCTACTTTTTTTTCTTCTTAAAAATTTACTCATTTTCCTTTTTTAGATATGTTTTTTTATTTACTCATTCTAAGGCCCTGTTCTCTTCACCTTAAAAAAACGATATTAAGTAAAAATAATTTCAGTTCAGTAAAAATAAGTTCAGTTTAGTAAAATCCAGCTTTCTTAAAGAAGAATTATAATAGAAAATCAGTAAAAATACTTTCAGTTTAGCAAAAATAATTTCAGTTCAGTAAAATTAATTTAAGTTCAGTAAAAATATTTTCAGTTTAGTAAAATTAATTTAAGTTCAGTAAAAATAATTTAAGTTTAGCAAAAATAATTTCAATTCAGTAAAAATAATTTCAGTTCATCAAAAATAAGGTGAAGAGAACGGGGCCTAACATATACCATTTTAAAAAATGGCACTCACAACTTGTACTCTTACTAATACTATTTCAAAATTTACTTTCACAATTAACAATTATCATTCGCCTAAATATAATTGATTGCAATCTTTATTTCGTGAAAAGGAAAGTGTGCATATAGAAAATAAACGGATGTACTACAACCAATACCCCTTTTAATTTCCTAGGCTAGCTTTTTCTACAAAACATGTATTCCGATTTGATAAGTTTCTCATCAAAGTGGTTAGAAATTTTATTCCTCTTTATTTTGGTTTATACAATATTACTAATGCTATTATGCAAAGTTATGTACTACACCAGAAATTGATTAAGTTGTTCATTTCTTTTGTTGGTTCAATACTTCAACAAATTTTAGAACTTTTTGTGGGAAACAACCTAATAAAACTAAAATTTTGTCGAAAACTATCTACTAAAAAAATGTTGTACAAAACTACCTAATAAAAGGTAAAATTTAATAAGATACTATCTTTGACCGAATTTCTACCATTGACTTAATATTACGACGTTGAACCACCTTAAAATACTCCCAAAACCACTGTATGGGTTGGTTTACAAGGTGGTATTAAGGTAATTTTCCAGGTGCTTGGGGGATGTTCCGAGTTGCTGAGGGTATATTAGTGTTTTGGGACGGTGGTTTTTGGGGTTAGAGGTGGTAGTTTTGGGGTTGAAAGGTGGTTTAGGTGTGGTGGAAGCAATTTTAGAAAGCGGTGGTCTCAAGATTGTTTTGAGGTCGGTAAACGGTGTATTTTATAACATTTTACCATTTCTTAGGTAGTTTTTTTTTTACAACATTTTACCTTTATTAGGTGGTTTATTCCCGTAAAAATAGGTAGTTTATTACAACATTTTTTTTTTATTTGCTAGTTTCTTATAAAATCTTGTTTTAATTATATTATTCAATTAATATCTTCACAATCATTACCGATCGATATTGTCTGTGTCAACAATTAATTTTGCATCAAATGAAATCTTGTTTAGAAAAATATCACCTAAATCCTTAATGTGGGGTACACACAAAGAAAAAAGACCGTATATGTCCATTCAGGTCTTGTTTACTTCACTTTAAAAAAATGTATAAAGTAAAAATATTTTCAAATTAGAAAATACAATTTCAACTTAGTAAATATAAGTTCAATAAAGTAGAAATATTTCAATTCAGTAAAAATAAGTTAATTTCAAGAAAATTTAGTAACTTTAAAAAAGAAAAAATAATCGAAAATCAGTTTAAAAATTCAGTTTAGCAAAAGTAATTAATTTCAGTTTAGTAAATTATTTTCATTCAGCTAAAATAATTTAGGTTGCGCAAAAATAGTTTCAACTTAATAAAAATAATTTTAGTTCAATAAAAATAATTTCAATTCATCAAAAATAAAGTGAAGTGAGGGGCCTAATTGCTCAGTATCCTTCTTACTTATTGCAACTTGGACTAAATGACGAATTTAAAAAAGTCAAAGCAACTACCAATTTATTTATTTATGGTATTATATATCATCATTGTAGCAACATTTTATGTCAACAAAATGAAACCAAACACATGTTATGTATTGATATAATAATATATACAGACTAGATCAAGAGTATATCCAAAATATAAATGTATAATACATATATTCTATAGAAATAAGTGAATGGAATAATATAAAGAAATATGTATAACACATGGTGGCGACATACACTACAAGAAAAAAGATCAAAGAGGGCGATATACATTGATCAAGGAGGGCGAGTTTAATTTTGCCTTGTTATTTTCTATCAAGGAGGGCGAAATAATAATTGCCCTTTTATTACAGAACAAAGAGGGCGAATGTTACTTTCGTCTTTGTACTTCGAAGAAAACAGGGCGAATTAATTTTTCGTCCTCTATAATAGAGCTAAGAGGGCGAATTCACAAAATCGTCCTCTATAATAGAGCAAAGAGGGCGAATTTCATTTTCGCCCTCGTTGTTCAATAAAACAAATCAACAAAGTAAACGTTTTGGCTATTTTACAAAACAAAAAAGAAACAAACAGGGCGAATGTTACTTTCGTCTTTGTATTTCAAACAAACAGGGCGAATTCCATTTTCGCCCTCGTTGGTCAATAGCAAAAAGGGCGAATTTCTTTTTTGCCCTCGTTGGTCAATAAACATTTTAACAAAATAAAACAAAGGTTTTTCTCTATTAAAACAAAAGGACATAAGAAATTAAACGTTTAAGAAAATATAAACGTTTGTTTAAACAAAGGTTTTTCCCCAAAATATGCATGAACCCTAAATCGCAAATCGCTAATCTATGATTCTTCGCTCTATTTTTTCTACCTAATTCTTCGCTCTAATTCTTCACTCCTAATCCTTGCTCTTAAGGTTCAGATTCATTGCTCGAAGTCGGTCAGATTGCAAGTCAGATTTCGTTCCAAATCATTGCTCGATTTCGCTCTAATTGTGTCGCAAAATTTTGGTAAATTTTGGCTCAAAACTATGTGATTAAGCTTTTGATTTGTACGAATTTGTTGTTCACGAAATCCTTGCTCTTAATTTGTTGATTTTTTTTGTCAATTTGTTCCTGCATGTTAGTATTGCTCTACATTTGTCAATTTTTTTTGTCAATTTTTTTTGTCAATTTGTCGATTCTGCAAGTTTTTGGGAGTTGTTATTTATGCTAGTAATGTCAGATAGATTATGGAGAAGCAAATCAGAATTATTCGTATTTTATCAGTGGTTTATCGATTTAATTGCTTAATTGATCGTATGAGCTATTGATTACTGTGAATTGGGATAATTGTAATTTGTTTTGATTACTATGAATTGTGATAATTGATAACTCTATCTGATAGTATTATACTAGCTAGTAGTGAGCCAGTGAGGTAATATTCTTTTGCCAATTTGTTGATGATTACTATGAAGCAAGTTAAGAATAAATGCAGTTTATGTGATAGATGATTACTAATAGTATGGAATATCATTGATGATTGAATTAGTTTACTCAGACATTTGATATTTATGTTCAGATTATGTTATGGGACAAATAAAATGATTCGGTTAGAGATGGATTCTTGGTGTGACTTAAGGATACTTGTACTTTATGACTTTTATGCTTAATTTGATTAAAACACTCTTACTTAAAATAGTCCCTTTTAATCTAATTATATACGCCCTTTGATGAGTTGCTACTTTATCAATTCAGGAGAATTAGGTTGCATTAGTCAACTGCTAGATAGTCTGCTACATGCCAATTACCCCAATAACTAGTATATTATCATATCTATTCATATAATTTTATAACTATTTTGTCTACTTATGAACTTATAATATACAAATTTATTGGTTCCATTATTTAGCTAGTAAGATCCAGATGTCTAACTTGTATATATAAAGAATGTTATTGCCTTGGCTTTTGGGAGGACTTTCACACTTTTTTCTATTATTAACATGGACAAATAAAATGATTCAGTTAGAGATGGTTTCTATGGCTATTATGCTTGTACTTTATTATGCTTAATTGTGTATGTCCAGTTTCAGTAGCATAATGTCCATATGTGGAAATTTTTATGTCAATTTGTACTTTTGTTTCATTAGACTATTGGTCAACTTATTTATGTTGCTATAATGTTGCGTTTTATTCCACCCATCCCTTGTATCAACTTATATATTGTTTTATGTAATATAGAATGGATAATGATAGAAGTTGGATGAATGTTCAAGGGTTGAAAGGTAGGCTTCAACCAAGTTACCGAAATGGTGTTAAATACTTTCTTGATTTTGCTTTCAAGGACACTAACCCTAATTCTGGGGATAAGAAGAGGTGTCCTTGTTTGAATTGTCGAAATTACTTTGACCATGACCGATCGACAATGTGTGTTCATCTTCTTCGAGTGGGAATAGACCCTGATTACAATCCATGGGTATTCCATGGAGAGGAACAATCCCTTGACATCGGTGAGATGGAGATGTCCGAGGAGGAAGGTGATGAGTTATATGATGAAGATCCTCTTGTATCAGAAGAGATGACTTCTTTGGTACATGATGCGACAAATGTAGTGCGGGAGGAGCACGATGGGGATGAAGGGGGTGGAGATTGTTCTGAGATTCCCAATAAGTTTTATAAATTGATGAAAGATGCAGAAGAAGAGCTATTTTCGGGTTGTAAAACATTTTCAAGGCTTGAATTCATTGTAACTCTCTTACACCTTAAGGTTAGTGGGGGTTGGAGTGAGAAATCATTTAGTGGGCTCCTAAGTGCATTACAAAAGGCCTTTAATTATGACCCAAACTTTCCAAAAAGCTCTTATGAAGCCAAGAAGTACACAAAAGACCTTGGGTTGAATTATGTGAAGATTCATGCTTGTGTCAATCATTGCATACTTTATAGAAAAGAGTATGAAAATGCTGATTCATGCCCTATTTGTGAGGAGTCAAGATGGAAGGAAGGTAGCAGTGAATTTGATGATAGTGTTACCTTCTCGGAATCTCAAGGGGCCTCACAAAGAATGCCTAAGGTACCTCGTATGGTTCTACGCCATTTTCCTTTAGTGCCAAGGCTTCAAAGGCTTTTCATGTCATCGAAAATTGCAAAGCACATGCGATGGCATAAAGAGAGGCAACAACTTGATGACAACATATTAAGACACCCATCCGATTCAATGGCATGGAAGAAGCTTGATGAATCATTTCCAGAGTTTTCAATCGATCCACGTAATGTGAGATTAGGTCTTTCGACTGATGGTTTCAATCCCGGTGGACATTTTGGCGCTAATTACAGCATTTGGCCAGTGTTTTTGGTGCCATACAATCTTCCACCATGGATGTGCATGACAAGTCCATACATCATGTTGTCACTCCTAATTCCTGGTCCCAAGTCTCCTGGAATGGATATTGATGTGTTCTTAGAACCATTGATTGATGAACTTCAAGAACTATGGGAAGTTGGGGTGAAAACTTATGATTCACATAGTCGCCAAAACTTTACAATGAAGGCAACCCTATTGTGGACAATGAGTGATTTTCCTGCTTATGGAAATTTGTGTGGTTGGATACTTGTGGTAAACTTGCTTGTCCATCATGTCACATAGATACCTCACACAAGAGATTGAAGCTTGGAAAGAAAGAATTCTTTGATGCTAATCGTAGATTCTTGGATCTCGATCATAGATGGAGAATGGATAGAAAATCATTCAATGGAGAAACAGAAAGACGACCACCTCCTATCCCTTTGTCGAGGGATGAGATAGTAGAAGCCTTTGATGGTGTTCCGAATGTGATATTTGGGAAGAAGAGAAAGAGAACCAAAAGATACTTGTTTGGCCAATGGAAGAAGTTTAGTACCTTCTTTAGACTCCCTTATTGGAGTAAGCTTTTGGTAAGGCATAACTTAGATGTGATGCATATTGAAAAAAATATTTGTGATAGTATCTTAGCAACTGTACTTGATATTCCTAATAAGACAAAGGACACTTTGAACGTACGAAAGGATTTGTTGAAGTTGAACATGCATGAGAAATTGAGACCTATCAAGATAGGTGATAAATATGCCATTCCTAGAGCTCCTTATCAATTGACATTGCTTGAGAGGCGTAGAGTATCGGAGTGGTTGTCTAAGGTTAAAGTGCCAGATGGTTACTCTTCTAACATAGCTTGATGTGCAAGTGTAGAAGATGGAAAAATCTCGAACATGAAGAGCCATGATTGTCATGTTTTTATGCAAGATTTGCTTACACCGGCATTTCAAGGCATTTTGCCTAAGCAAGTGTTAGAACCTTTGGTTGAGCTAAGCTTGTTTTTTAAGCAATTGTGCTCCAAAACTCTAAAAATTGATGTGTTGGAGCGATTGGAAAAGAGTATTGCAATAACTCTTTGTAAGCTTGAAAAGGTGTTTGTTCCATCGTTCTTTGATATTATGGTTCACCTCCCAATCCACTTGGCTACTGAGGCCAAGCTTGCTGGGCCAGTGCAATATCGTTGGCAATATCGATTTGAAAGGTAATCTTATAGCTCATCTACATTAATATGTGATTGTTTAATTTGTGGCATCATTTAATAAGGTTTTTTCTCGTAGGGAAATGTACATTAATATGTGATTTGAAAGGTTGAAGGCCGACTATTTTTCAAATCGCAAATCTTTATTAGAGGCGGAGCATGCTTGCCCACCTTCAATAAAACTTGAACAATGGAAGTGGCTTGTTTATAACTATTGGAGCTCTCCTAAACAAAAGGTAAGTTATGGGAATGCTCTTGTAATCAGAATTCTGCAAAGAAGATTGTTTTCTTCCCCTTTACTAATCCTATATGTTGTTTTGTAATCTGTAGGAAAGGAGCGAGAAGAATCGGGCAAATGCTCTTGCAAAGAAGATCAAGTCGGCATGTGGTGCGAAATCAACAGCTCGCATAATTTATGAATTGGTGAGTATAAGTTATTGTTAATGTCTGTCTCTGTCTTTGTCTTAGCTGAATCTGTCTTAGCTGAATCTGTTCTTGGCTGAATTTGTCTCTGTCTTAGCTGCTGTGACTCTGAAACTCTGCTGACTTGATCTTACTGATGTACCGCATTACAGCTAGACTAATTTATGAATTGGTGAGTATAAGTTGTTGCTCTTATGCATGACACTCCTAAATAAATTATGAAAATAGTCAAAGTAAATCTAGGTAGTTTGTAATCTAGGTAGTTTGATGTTGTAGAGTTAAGCAGTTTCAGATTGTATCAGAAAACAGAAATTAATAAGTGTATGTATATGATTTGAAAGGAACTTGAGGCGCAAGCTTGTGAAAATGAGAATGAGGTCACCGAAATTAATGGTTCTAGTTCAAACGTCACCTCATCCCAAGCTAAAGATGATCCCATGTATTTAAAGTTATGGGAAAAGTCAAAGAGGTATATTGAATATTTGTCTAATGCACGAACACTTCATTTTTCTTTATACTAAAATTCTGACTTTGTTTTATCTTGTAAGGCATAAAAATGGGAAGTTTGACGATGAAGCCGAGGAGAAGTTCAAGGAATTAAAGGAGTTGCATGAGAAGGAAATTGGTGAAAAGGGGGTTGATAATCTTACTCTTGAAGAAGCTTATGTGAAGGTTCTTGGACATCGTTCAGGTTATGCCCGAGGTTTAGGCAAAGGGCACCCGGTGTCATCTAAAGATGGAAAGATAGGAAGAGCTGAGCTGGAACAAAATGTTGAAAAACTACAAAATGAAAATAATATTATGCGAGCTGAATTGGAAGCGTCTAAGAAGAAACAAGAAGACCTAGAACAAAAGCTTCGGTTAATCATGGAGAAGATTGGCCTTGATTCTTGATAAAGGTAATATTTTATACAAAGTATCTTTTTCTACTTTGATATTTGGGTGTTTTTGTATCATATCAAGTGTGGTCTGATTTTTTTTAGCTCCGAGTAGTTGCCTCTTATAGTAATCATAGTCATTATTCATCATCAAGTTCCTACATTGCTACTAATATATTCTTATATTAATTTACATTCAGCTTGTTTCTGTCATGTTTGCAGTTAGGGGATCAAGTCAGTGTGCTGATGTTTTGGGGATGGAGGACACCAAAGGCTGGTTGCATTTCTTGGATGGAAAAAGGGGATGCTTGAAGATGCAAGGATGAAAAGATGTCCTAGAATTATTAAATAATTGCTTTTTGGAAAACTTGGTTAATACTTTTGTATATATAATGACAAAATTAGAATATATAATGACAAAATTAGAATTTATATTAACTAATGTCCTAGAATTATTAAATACTTTCGTTTTTTTTTTTTGAGGCAATTAAATACTTTTGTTAATACTCCTAGAATTATTTTTTTTTAAAAACTAAAAATTGAACAAAGAGGGTGACTTTGGTTTTGCCCTTTAAAATTTGATCAAACAGGGCGAAATTTGAGCAAGGAGGGCAATATCAACTGACTTGTTTGAGTTGTTTTCAGAGGGCAAAGAAACATTTCGTCTTGCTTGATTCAATTAAAGAGGGCAAAATTATTGTCCTATTTGATCTTGATCAAAGAGGGCGAAATTTTTGCCCTATTTAATTTTGATCTAAGAGGGCGAAATTTTTGCCCTACTTGATTTTGATCAAAGAGGGCGAAAAATTTTGCCTTCTTTGATATTTAACAAAGAGGGCGAAAAATTTGTATGCCCTTTGAAGCTAATAGGACAAAGCTAATAGGGCGACTTGGGGGCGATTTTAAAATCGCCCTCTTTGCCTAATAGGGCGAAATTTGAACCTAAGAGGGCGATTTAAATTGCCCTCTTTGATATAATATCTTGTAGTGATAGTACGAACCTTTCATTGAGTACGTATTAGAAAAAAATAATAATAGAAAGTTCCTATAAATAACAAGAAACATATCTAGGAAACTCACAAAACAAGAATTCTCTCTTTGTATAGTATTGGAGTACATACATCACAAAAAAAAAACAGTTTTGATAATATAATCAAAGTTAGTTACCAAAAATGGAGAACAAGGCATTCTCGAAAAGAATGATGCTAGCTACCCTTGCCACTTTCGCATTAGGTATTTCATTCTTCACTTCATTCATTCAATACGTAGTAATTTAATTTGTATGATGACTACTAATTATTTTTATGTTATATATATAGTGATGATGCTGCAAATTCATACGGGAGAAGGCGCGTGTCCAGCAGCATATGATGATCCATGTACCAATCCTAACGAATTATGTTGCTCAACCAATCCAAACTTGCATTGCGTTCAAGTTGCAACCAATGTGTACAAATGTAAAGATGATACCACATGTGAGGATCACCACGACCATGAGTGTTATCCCAACTTTTTTGATTGTTGCACTGGCTTAAATTGTGTCCAACTTGCATCTGGTAAAAAATGCAAAGAGGGCACTTGTGAAGCCCATAGTGGACATGAATGTACCCCTGGTGTTTTTGAATGCTGCAGTGGCACTGGCCTAGATTGCGTTCAAGTTTCAATTTCACCCGAAGTTTACCAATGCCTGTAAATGTCATCGTATATATATGATCATACACTATATATATGATCATATGTTTACTAACTCTACAATGCACTCAACAAGCTGAGGCCGGGTGTTGAGCTCATTATTATCGTGTGCTATGTGTAGCTTCTGTTACACATTCTTTTTTAATTTCCTTAATTGGTTGTTGTTTGAGATTCACTTTTCCTTTGATTTGTCTTGTTTCCTTTCTTTTGGTTCATATGTTTAATATATATGTGGCCTGGTTGGGATTGTATTTTTCATCATTAATGAATTCAAATATATGAAATAATTTTCAATTTTTTGCATCACTAAATTGGTTTTTTGTACTTGTATCACTATAAGTACCCAAAAATAATTTACAGATAATACACACTGCAAAATTAGGAGCATCTATCTTCTCGCAATATCGTACCCTAATCTTTCTAAAATTAGGAACATCTATCTTCTCGCAAATTCTGGAGTATAATAGGTAGTTTTTCACAAAATTTCCTAAAAAAATTGCTTTTCACAAAGGGGTCAGAGCAATATCTTCATGAGTGGCCAAGCAAAGCAGTATACAAAGTATATAATTGCTGCTGCCTGCTGGTTGTTGTTTGATCTGAGATTGACTTTTCCTTTAATTTGTTTTATTTCCTTTCCTTTGGTTCATATATATATATATATGGCCTGGTAGGGATTGTATTTTCATCATTTATGAATTGAAATATATGAAAATAACTTTTAATTTTTTGCAAGATTTGGTTTTTTGTGCTTTTATCACAATGAAACAGGGTTTTTTTTTTCTAAAGGTAAAATGCACTGCAGCATTAGGAATGTCTATCTTCTCGCAACATCGTTCCCTAATCTTTCTAAAAATTAAAAATTAAAAATGAAAAAAAAGTTGCTTTAACCTTATGAATAATAAAAGGGTAGAACTTAACAAAACAAAGGTCATACATGCATTATGGACAAATGAAGCATACCCATAATTCCATATATTGATAGAATATGTATATAATTTTCACCCAAAAATAAATAAAAAGAACATGTACATATTAATATTTCCTTGAAATCTATTCCATTATATCACAGATGCTTCAGAATAAACGAATTAAAACAATAATAAGTGAAATAACAAGTAAACTATATGCTATAATCCGAATGTCCCGTACACATAGTGTCGACATTGAATGTACTAATATAATCCATGCATACATATAAAAATTAATAGAAACGGAAAGAAGAGAAAGCTGGTGTATAATACATTACAAATAGTTTTGATACATTAAAATTTATATTCCTTACTAATAAACCAAAAACGGAAAACAAGTCTTCGTCAAAAAGAATCATGCTAGCAACCTTTGCCATTTTTGCATTAAGTTTGTCTTCTTATGTTTTCATATACTTTTCATGTCATTTTCAATATCATGTTAAAATTTTTAGGAAATTTTGACAATTACCACCTTCTGTTTAGTCCATTTTAGTAATTACCACCTTCTATTTTGTATTTGAAAATTACCACCTTCTATTTTCAAAAACATCAAAAGTTACCGCCTTCTTGCCTCCCAACTACCACATGACGTCATTTTGGGCCCATTCTTTCCCTTTCCTCCATATTTCCCTCACATTTCTCATTTCTAACTCGATTCTCATCCCCCTTTCACTTTTTTTCCCCCAAACAATCAAAAACACTTCAATTCACTCCTCCAAATCAAAATTGACGAACAATTATTGGTGATTTGGGGGAAAAAAGTGAAAGGGGAGATGAGAATCCAACTAGGAATGAGAAATGTGAGGGATATAGGGAGAGAAGGGAAAGAATGGGCCCAAAATGACGTCATATGGTAGTTGGGGGTAAGAAGGTGGTAACTTTTGATGTTTTTAAAAGTAGAAGGTGGTAATTTTCAAAAAAAAATAGAAGGTGGTAATTGCTAAAATGGACATAACAAAAGGTGGTAATTGTCAAAATTCCCAAATTTTTAATTATTTTGATGCATAAGATGTTAAGCTTACATGTCACAACTAATTAGCTAATAAATCATAATATATATATATTCTTGTAGTGATGATGCAGCAAATCCGCGCCGAGGAAGATGGTGGCTGCCCTGCCCATTATGATGATCCTTGTGACCCTAATATATCACAATATTGTTGTGAAGATCATAACCTACTTTGCGTTCAAGTAAGACCTGGCATTTTCAAATGCAAAGACGCCCCCTGCGAGCAACATTATGATCATGAATGTTATCTGGTTATTATGAATGTTGTCCTGGAATAGGCCAAGTTTGCAAAGAAGTTGCACCAATACTCCATCGATGGAGTATCTTATAATTTTATCACTTTAAAATTAGATAACATATTTAGTATTTATTTTATTAATTAAGTTATTGTTGAGGTAAATTAATATTGCTCTTAACCAACAAGTTAAATACTCTATCTTAATCTAGAGTATTATGGGGTTGTCCCTCAAGTTACCAGTTTCAAAGATTGATAACCTTGCTAACATAAAACAAAAAAAAAAATAAGAAAACTTTCCCAAAAAAGTAAAACAAGTTAGATTACTCGAAAAAACGAGTAGATATATGATAAAATATACAAGTCAAATTTTATATGTGGCTACCGTACGTGCGGCCAACCATTATAAATTTTTTTTATTTAATTCTTCTCTTCTCTCTCCTCCTATTTCTCTCTCCTCTTTTCTTCTTCTCTAGTTAGGCCACCCGAACCCACCTTGATCGAGGCGGCGGGAGGCTGAGAATTTAGCGGTGGTAGTGGGGGAGGGAGCTCCTCGTACTTCGTCGCCAAAAAAACAAGTTAGGGGTTTTTAAGGCCAAATTCAGCCATGAAACTCTAGATGTAGAGTTTTCATGGTCGATTTTAGCTTTTTAGCCATATTTCGAGTGAAATTCGAAGCCGTTGTGAATTTTTAAGGTATTTGTTCGATTTAATTTTTTTCACGATGTTTTTTTTTTTACGATTGTGGGTTCGGTTTGGTTGGATCTAGGTTTGCTCGTTTTTTAAAGATTTGGTTGTGGGTTTGGTAGAATTTGGGCGTGGTTGCTGGTGGTATATTAGTTGGTGGTGGAATGGTTGCTAGGCGTGGTGGTGGAGTTGGTGGTGGCGTGGGGCAGTATTGGGTATGGGAATTGGTGGTGGCATGGTTGCTAGCGGCGTGGGCTGTGGGTACGGGAGCGGTTGCTGGTGGCGTGGAGTTTAAGGGTGGTGTAAGATTAGGGATTACTTACTTGGTTAGGGGTTACTAGGTCGGAGGGATTATTTGGTCGGGGGTTACTTACTAGGTCAGCCAGTATTTACTAGGTTGGAGGGGTTCCTAGGTTGGTTAGGGGTTACTAGGTCAAAGGGGTTATTTGTGGGTTACTAGGCTGAAGATACAAATGCATTCTTTTGATGAGCCACACACAAAATGTGCTGAAAATACAAATGCATTCCTTTAATGAAAGGATAGATCGAGTTAGGTCTACGACAATTGTACAATTTTAATGATAGGTTATCTTCATGGTCATACAATTAGAAAAGACGAAGGAGCTTCAGTACATACTAGATGATAAACTACACTATCGCTTGGCTACTAAGCAAAGGAAGAACTACAAAAGTTAAGAAGAAAACTTAAAAGAAATGAATGCTTGTTGTTGAGTTCTTTGTTGATGTCTTCTTTCGACCTCTGTACTTCTATTTATATGCAAAATGGAGCGGTTATGACTAACTTCCATAACTATTGTGCGGTTTTGCTTCTTGCCGCACTCTATTT